TCATCTACAGGACAGGACTCTACAGTTTACACTCATCTACAGGCCAGGACTCTACAGTTTACACTCATCTACAGGTCAGGACTCCACTGATGCCTAATGATCATTGGACTGAGGTTCTTTTTTCCATGTGAACAAAGTGTTGTTTGTCATCATTAAACCATTGTCCACCATGTGGCGGCAGTGCTTATATGACTGAATTTACCTGAAACTGTTCAGACTGAAGAGGTCTCTTGGAGGAGAGACGAAAGGTTTTTTTCAACAAAAGACACTCAGAGGACCTAATCAGCTTTTGTTTAGATGGTTTCAGTTGTTAACCTGAAGTAAAACTTGTGTCAGACTGATGATGTGTGAATGTTTTACTTTGCAGACATCATTGGTGCATGGAATCATGGTGTCACACAGCGAAGAAGACCTGCTGAGGATCAGGACAACATTTCTTAAACTGACTGGAAACTCTCTCTACTCTGCTCTGCAGGTCCAACACTCACATAATCACAAAACAACAGAGTCACACAGTCACAGGGCAACAAGACAGCAGATTCTCTTAGGTACCCACTCTTTGACACTGTACTGGACTTTGATGGTGTTGTTTGGTGTTCTTGTTTCAGAACCATTTTAAAGGAGAACATCTGCAGGCTTTGCTGAGTATCTGTCGAGCTGAAGATTAAAAGTATACCTGCAGTTTCTTTTAGGTCGTTCTTCATTTTTTCATCTTCCAAAGCTACTTTTTTATTTTTTAAACAAATTTCTCACTTATTAATTTGTACAGCTTCATTCATCTAAATGAAAAGTTGCACTTTTTCATTTTTTTCAGGTTTTAGAAGATATTCCTTTCATTTTCTTACTGTTGATAAAGTTTATCAAAAAGATTTTTTGTCTTTGTAATAAATGGTATTCTTCCATAACATTTTAAACCATTTTTATTGTTTCTTGAAATAATAAACAGTTTTAGTTAATACCTTTTAAAATGAAATGGACCCAAAAAGATTCAGGAATCTAACTCAAAGCTAGTGGATAATACATACAGTTTTAAGATATTTGTCATAGTTCACATTTAACTTAAAAATAGCTAATATGTATTAAAGAAAAAACACTTGAATAACCTGTTCCTTGTGCTGGTGAGGATTCTCAGCCATCCAGGTTATGGCAATCTAAGTAGGCTTCAACAAAGGAAATGGGACAAACCAGAAGTAAAGTTATCCATTTGCCTTTGTTTAAACCTTGTAGATTAACCTGGTTTAAAGTGTTCAGCAGGTCTAAGGAAGTCTACAATCCTGTCTTATTTATTTATTTATTTATTTATTTATTTATTTATTTATTTATTTATTTATTTATTTATTTATTTATTTATTTATTTATTTATTTATTTATTTTTAATTTACCATTTTTTATCCAGGAGATTGCAGATCTCTTTTTCAAATGAGGCCTGGGCCTGAAGGCAACCTATTGTACATGTTTTTTTTTTTTGGGGGGGGTGGGGGGGACTGGAGTACCTGGAGAAAACCCACACAAGCACGAGGAGAACATGCAAACTCCACACAGAAAGACCCCAGGTCTGAACCAGGAATCAAACTCAGGACCTACTTGCTGTGAGACGTTGGTGCTAAGCACTGAGCCGTCTTTTGATTGTCCATTTAAAAAGGGCACATATCTTCCTCACTGAGGTCAGAGGGATGTGTCTGTTTCTGATGTCTGATGGTTTACAGGATAAACTGATAAAACAAGAGAGACACCACAGAAAACAGCAGTGATGAGTTTAGTCCAGAACTGTCATTCTTTGTAGGAGTAATTAATGTAATAAGTGGTGTTGTAGACGAAGAGGTTGATGCAGTTGAGATGGTTGGGGTTGAAGTTGAAGTGGATGATACAGTTGAAGTGGATGATGCAGTTGAGGTGGTTGGGGTTGAAGTGGATGATACAGTTGAAGTGGATGATGCAGTTGAAGTGGATGATGCAGTTGAGGTGGTTGGGGTTGAAGTTGAAGTGGATGATACAGTTGAAGTGGATGATGCAGTTGAGGTGGTTGGGGTTGAAGTGGATGATACAGTTGAAGTGGATGATGCAGTTGAGGTGGTTGGGGTTGAAGTGGATGATA